ATGACATAAACATAAACAAAGATATGATATGAAATGGTAATATGGAAACATAAAAGTAAGAAATAAGGAGTAAGAAGAGAATATAAACAAAATTAAACAAGGATAATGTTAGTGAATTAGTGGTTAGTGGTTAGAACATATGATCAACGATGATTAATTCTTGCACTTAGACCAAAGTTAATGAAAACTCATTAGAGGATTGATAGAATCAAAGCCTCCTAACAATGATTTTCATAGGTATTGGACTTAAGACAAGCAACTAATCATACTTGGACTTTTAAACGTAAGTTTGAGCCACGAATGATCATTTTCTGATTAAGGGACACTTTAGCGCTATGTTAAGCAATCGTAATCGGGTTTATGTAGAAACCACGACTATCTGAGGCTGGTCAATAATAATGTTAGTGTTAACACATGTTAGAGAAGTGATATGTAAATCACTCTCTTAAAACATGCCACACAAAAAGAAAAGAGGTAATGATCTCATCACAATCAAGATTTTTCATCAATTAATCAAACTAATCTATCACTATTCCAAAGTACGGAGAATTATCTCAATGATTATTCGTCCATAGATTTGAAATAATGAAGATTAAACCACCTTGATAATCAACAATCTATGATCCATAGATTTCATCGATCAAAAATAAAAAGAAGAAGAAAGAGAATTAAAAAAGAAAAGAAACCACAATTTGAATCTTAAATCGATTAAATTATCATCAATATCAATCACCTCTCTTGGTGGATTAAATCAACACCCAAAGTCCATTGATATTGATGAAATCTTATCAAAAATTCAAGATCCAAATCTATTTTTTTAAAGAAATTATTTCAACCATAAAAAAAAATATTAAAAGAAAATTGATAGAAAGTCTTAAAAAAAAGGGAGGTTTTAAAAGAAAAGAAAGAAAATATTAGGCCCAAACCAGAAAAAATAAATAAATAATAAAACGAATAATAATAATAAAAACAGAAAGTATATCTTCTTCTTCAATGGAAATGGAAAGCAACGTGACGCTATCACCAGGGGCGTAAATCGAAAATCCAACTATCGGAATGACGAAACTCCATTTTGGTACCATCTCAACCGAAATCACAAGGTGAATCCAAATACACACAAAATTTCAACCAAGAGCTCATATGAAACGAGATCAGAGACAAGAGTTCAATCGGCAAAACTCCAATACCTTCAAAAATGGAGAAATTAACTTCAATCTTCTTCTTCTTGCTTTGAATTGCTGTTGTTATTGTTGAATAAATTTGAAGTATAGTGAGATTTTGTGTGGAAAAGGTTGTGAATGAAAAGAGAGTTGAATCGGATGAAACTTGAAGAATGGCTGAGGGTGATTTTTTTGAAAGTGAAATTTGAAGGAAAATTGAGGAGTTATGATGAAAATTCTGCAGGGATTAATTGGCTTGAAAAGCTTGACCACATGAATGAGGTATGTGTTGTATTTATAGATTGAGAGTGAGGGAGAGTGATTTGCCGTTTTGCAATTTTTCTGCGTTTTGGTTCTTGGGTGTTTTACGCGTGACTCATGTGCTGAAACTTTCATGTCGTTTTGCTTATTTCTATTTTAGCTCATGAATTATGACGTGGATTTGCACGGCTTAATGGCTTGTGGGGTCAGCTGAAAAATTTTTAATATGGCTTACTTCTATTTTTCTTGGATTTCACATTCTAAAATCTCAGTCTGACTTGGAGATTGCATTTGTATGCAGAATCTGAAAGGCATCACTCTTATATCATCAACTCTAAACAACCTCTCTAGAGCCACTTGATCAGGCTAACACACCAAAGTAAATTCCTCTGTCAATTCTAGAAGATCCTGCATATCAGTATCAGCACGGTTAAGCAAAGAGATAAGTCCGCTTGTTTCCTAAGAATTCGCCGCAGACAGAAGTGTTCCCCTGCTACCATTGCAAACAAAGCTCGCTATTGATTGACGTTATCTTGCACTCCATTTTCCTCAGTGCCGTTATCATTGTTCTGTTTATTGCGAACCATTGCAGTGGAAGTGGTCCTACTTAAGGGCTTATCAGTGTCAGAATGTTTTTCACTACTAGCCTTAGCAGAATTGTAACGAACCATACTTGAACGCAAGTCCGCAAACAGATCCTGCAAGTCAAATTCGACATCCAGAGGCAGTGCACCTTTGCTTATCAAGAACCAGTCGAGTTTCTTCTTAGAAGAGCCATAATCAAAGTAATGGCCACAAGTTTCAAGTAGAGTAATGATCAACCTTATACAAAAAAAAATCTTCTGGTGGATCGAATACATCTTGCTCTGGTGTTCCATGTGCGATGTTCAAGAAGCTTCTGTGTGTTTGGGTTCTTGCCCCAAGCTCTCTCCTTCCATATTAACTCCACTTCATCAAATGTAAACCCTTGGGTTTCTGGAACATACAGAAGTACAAACAAAAATGCCACCACATCTATACCAGCAATAATCAAGAACGTTGGAGCAACACCAATACTGTCAGCAATCGAAAGAAAGCTCTCTGACACGATCAAATTTGAAATCCAATTCACTGTAGCTGTCATGCCCCCGCATATACCTCGATATTCTTCAGGATATATCTCAGAGTTCACAGTCCACGGCACCGGCCCCATTCTGGGCGAGAAAAAACCAATATAAAGGCCTAGAGCGATAACTGCGAGCCATCCATACACTACATTTGAAGATGATGACTGCTTATAAAATGCTAGGGACAACATTATAAGGGAAACAAATACTCCTCCCAGACTGAAAAGGGCGAGTTTTTTCCGCCCTGTATTGTCAATAAGGTAAATGCCGAGAACTGATCCGACAACGTTCATGCCAGCAACAATGAGGGACAGAAGAAGAGCCAACTTATTGGCCTCGAAGCCAACCATTTGAACAATTGTTGGACTGTAGTACATGACCGTGTTTATACCTGTAAGCTGCTGAAAAGCCAGAAGTCCTCCTCCAACAAGGAAAGCCAGTATGGTTTCTTTTGATTTGAAAACATGCCAGAATTTGATAGTACTCCTTTTTTGGCGCTCTTGTTCGGATTGAGCAGTTAGGAAGTCAATTTCATCCTCTAAGCGAGACAAGTCATAGATCTTAGAACTTACATCGACAGCTTCGTTTTTCCTATTCTTTAAAAATAGCCATCTTGGGGATTCGGGGAGGAAGAGCATGAGAACAAACTGAATAATTGCAGGCACAGCTGAAATACTAAGCATCCATCGCTATGTCCCGGGAACCTCAGTGAAAGCAAGATTAACAAGATAGGAAATAAACTGTCCACCAGTAATCATGAGAACATTGGTGCTGACTAATGAACCTCTAATTTCAGAAGGTGCTGCTTCTGCAATATAGACAGGAGCAGTAACAGAAGCTATGCCCACGCCCATACCAACGAGAAGACGTCCGACAATGAGAACATAAGGATCAGGTGCGGCGGCCATGAGAATTGCTCCAAGAATGAAGATAACATCAGCTAAGAGTGTGGCCTTCTTTGTATTTCAGGAAGCTGATTGAGCAGTATTGATACTCCGCTGTATGAGCTCCTCCATATAACCATGTTTGGCGGTAGAAAATTTTGCGGTGCTTTTTGCATCTTTTTCCGCTTGTGTGCATATGCCCTGACACTTTCTCTTTGAAACAGACAGAATATCTCCCATTGATGATACATGTTCATCCAAAATTGACTTTCCAGCAATGCCATTTTTTCTAAGATCCCCGAGTTTTGTATCTACCAGATCAATTTGACGACAAATGTGAGTTGATACTAAACTAGTCATATCAGCTATAAGTTCCTCTGCATCAGATCTTGATTACTCCTCATAAGCTTTTCTAAACTCAGCGATACTCTTCGTTTGAATTTCATCAGCTGCAGACGCAAAGTTTTCAAGCTTTTGATTCTATCATAACTACTATCTTTCTCATCAAAATCCAAATCAAATCCAATTCGGCAGCATCCTTTCTCAATCACAATTCTTCCAACAATATGTTTGAGCAGGTCATGTGCAATCCAATTCTCCATTTTATCTGCTTTTGAAATTGTACTAGCAAGTTTGTTCAATTTTGCATTTTTGCTGTGTATCACTTTCACAGCACATATCAGATGATTCAGAATGAGATTTTGTATGAGTTAATCTTCGCCGTCATTCGAACTTACAACCAAACTCAAACCTTCACTAGCGATAGAAACATGCCCTTGAACTGATGTTACTGTTTAACAAGCCAGTGTAGACATGTTCAGTACAACCGTCTCCGAAGTCCCGCTTTTTTTGTTATCATCAATAATGAACCAGTTCTCTCCTACTGTCACATCAGCATGTCTTGTTGATTCTGTTCCGTATCTTCTCCCGCGTGGATCAATTAGCAGCAAGTAAGAAAAATATGACCAGCAGCTGGCCTTAATCCTTCTGATCAATACACTTCATTTGAGGAATTGGCAACACAGAGTTATCAGATACCGTATTATCTATCGCAATTGCTTGAGCATTCTAAACTATCAATAGCAACCATGCATCTGAGATGATTGAGAGCAAAATGTTGGGCATACTTGAGATCAATTTCACTATCCATTGTGAATGCACGTGCGTTTATATATTCACCTGCTGTAATGTTGGATACAACCCAACAAGCTTCTTTCTTAATGCATTTTTTAAGAGGTTGTAACAATAGGTTTAAAAGGCAAGGGAGTGCACCGTAATCACCATCACCTGAGTTTGCATATCATCTCCAGTCACCATATTTCCCACTGTACGAACAACAGGAACCAACACTGAAGCAGATGGGTGTTGAAGAAGCTGCACCAGTCGGCCAGATACACCAGCTCAAATGGAAGTTGTGGCTTTCCCCTACAAAAGTTTGATAAAGTCCATGTGGCATTTCTCAGCATTGAAAGTTTGGCTTGATCGTTCATCTGGGCTAATAGTGAGATAAGAGCACCATGACCAAGCACTAGATCGCGATGCCACGGGGAATCACCAGCAATATTTCCCAAAGCCCACACGGCCTGCTCTCAAACTTCCTCACTAGGTGAATTAAGCAACGTGAGAAATGCAGGAACTGCTTCATGATCAACCACCACTTTAGTGTTCTCAGAAGTTCCAGATGCTATGTTTGTCAGAGCCCATGCAGCCTCAAACTGGAGTTGAGGGAAATCCTCTCTGGCGAGAAACTCAACCAAACGTGGCACAACACCAGATTGAATAACCTTATCAATAGGAGGAGGATTCCGTTCTACAATTGAATGTAGCTTCCGAAACAGTATGGTGGTCTCCACTTGAGCACTACTATCGTCAGAACAAACGCCGGCAACCATTGAAGGAAGTCTCTCTAGCTTCTTGTCGAGAGTGGGGAACTGCTCCTGAGATTGAAGGCCTTCGCGACGCTTCTTCTGTAAGCTTTCTTCACGTTTGCTCTTGCGAATCTCGATCATGCTGTCTTCACGTCTCCGGCGGCCATCGGCGGCGTCGACGGCGACCTTGTAACGGTTACGACGAGCATCGGCTCTTGCATTTGGTCGTAGCAACATCGTCGTTTAGGTAGTTGATGATTATCGGGATTCTGTGCCACAAGAAACATTTCTTGCACCAATGATGTCAAACATGGCTCACAGACAGAGCTTGAAAGAAGAGGAGTCGTGACAGAAGAAGAATCCTCCTTCTGATAAGTAGATTGCCTGGTGTAATTTGGAAAATTCATATACACCAAAATCCCTGTAACAACTCTCATAACAACAACTACTCCCAGCATACCACCAAGATGAACAAGAAAAGGGAAAGGATTGGAATAGCATTTCCTGAATAGTTCGAGTAAACATTTAACACGCTCAACTTCAACAGAGTGAACACCTTCATTCAGTATACACGAAATTACTGTCCCTGCTCCAATGCATGACGCCATCAGTAAACTATGGTGCAAAACACCAGACTCTTTCACAGATATTAACTCAGAAGTAAACTTTTTTAGAGCCAAACACAATATGGCCCAACTCATTTTCATCCATCAATTCCATTCTTTGGTAAAAAGTCACTACTGTAGGAAGTGCAATACAAGATCCTAATGCCAAAACAATATCAGATTTTCCCTCTTGCAAATCAAATCTTTGAAATAGGGAATTCATGTATGGAAGCCATGATATTATCAATTTTTTATCTTGATAACAGTCTCTAACTCTCCAGCTCTATATAATGCACTGATGGAGGTAGCCAAACCAAGAACAAGTCCAGCAACACCCCATATATCTTCTTCCAAGTCTTCACTGTCCTCGGAGGACGATTCAAATATGTCAGCATTCATATTATATCCAAGTGGAAAGGATGAACATAAACTATCCAAAGCATCTAAAGAGCATTTGATTCTCTGTTGTATCATTGTAGATAGGCCCCGCCAATTCTTCCTAGTAACTCGGGCTCCGGAACCTTGACCATGATAATCCGGACCAAACTTCTCATAGAACATTGCTTGATAAACTGATGATTCCTTACAAGACCACTTGACCTTGAATAATCATCTCTTGAGGAAATAGACCACTGATACAGATACTTGCAAATGAAGTAATCCCCTGATAGTTGGACCTTAACTACACATGAATAGCTATACTCGATTCTAATCCGTTCCTTTGCCATGAATCTCCCTACAAAACAAAAAATTGAAAAATATTTTTGGTCTTTTGGTTAGATGTTATTAAACAGAAACAAACATAAAGCAATTATGAAACAACAAGGGACCTAAGAAAAATCAAAAAGTATGATCTTGTTTGTGGAATGATATGCAAATGAAATGTGGGATCTTAGGGGTAAAAATTAGGGTATTACAGCTGTCCCTATTTAAGATTCTTCTATCCGGAGATATGAAGATAGACATCTTTGTCTCGACCAGATAGAAGAGACTTAAATATAACAATTAACCCAATTTTTGGCCCTAAGTGACCACAAAATGATATGATTATGCTAATGATATGCAGATACAAGACCTCTGTGGGGAGAAAATGCCACAGGAGTAAAACAAACAACTGGAGAAAAAGAAGGAAAGAGACTCCACAGGAAAAAGCAAGATCCTATTTCAATAAAAGAAAGGAAACGACTCAACGGGAAAAGAGATACCATCTGCCAGTTACTGGGCAAAGATATTCGAACCGAAGAGAATAGGTAAAATACTTTCTACTGGTTACTGAGTAGAAAATAAGTGCAAAAAACACAAGAGAATTGTTATCTACCAGTTACTGGGTAGAAAACAAAGAGATGTATTACTTACTACCAGTTACTGGGTAAAAAGTAATCCACTCGTTGAAATATAATCAACTACCTGTTACTGGGTAGGAAAAGAAGCAACGCCAACTACTGGTTACTGAGTAGTTTAGCGAGAATAATAAACTTGAATGAAAGGGGTTACCAACTATCGGTTACTGGATAGGGTAAACATGTCAACTACCTGTTACTGGGTAGGACAGACTCGACTACCTGTCATTGGGTAGGAGAAGAAAATAAAGGTCAACTACCTGACACTGGGTAGGACAAACATACTCGACTACCTGTCACTGGGTAGGAGAAAGAGATATATCATCAGCTACTTGTTACTGAGCAGCTCCAAACACACAACAAACTTCTCAAATAAAGAGACAACCATTTGTTGGAAAAAGATATTAACAACTCTGTCGGGGATCTTTAAAAGAGATACGAGCAGGTTGAACCATGCAATAGAATTCTCATCGGGAGTTATTCCACAGAAATTCCAATTGACAGAAAAGCTAGTCAGATAAGGATCTATCATTTCACAATAAATTTCTCTGTTGAGGATGAGCCAGAGAAATGTTATTTATTGAGAAGGTAAATTTCTGGAGATTACACAAGTTGCTCAAATAAAGAGGCTTCCACATGAAGTTGCATAAGTAATTACCAAGAGAGTGTTATTAAAACACTACTGGGGAAATCAAATCTTCATCTTCTGATGGGGATCAATAATAGATTCTGTCGAGGAAAATAAATCCTCAAAACTACCTTCTCATCATCCAAGTTTCACAGCCCAGGGAAAACCAAAGTAATTACTGCAAGAGACCAAAGTTCAATCCAGGAACAAACTGGAAAGAAACGGTCAAACAAGACTCGACCCAATGAGGAAATAACTCAACTGGGAAACAATTCCATCCAGATAAAAACTGGGGAGGAAAGCTAAACAAACATCTTCCACGAGGCATAAACTCAGTGGGGAATTGAAAATGATAGGTATTTTCTGCTTAGGGGTCGACACTCTAATGAAGGGAGGACGCACTCCGCGGGATAACAACACCGGGAAAAGGGAAATACCAACAAAAAATGCAGGATGCACAATGCAACAAAAACATGCTATGCTCAACCAAAATGAATGCGCATGCAATGAGTATGAATATGCTGACAAATCAGACAAAAAGGGCAAACAGAGGGTGAACAAAACACCACAACACCATTGAAATACTCGGCTAATCTCTACAAGTTAGAGATATCATTGGAGATCATGCTGGGGATCAGCAACAGAAAATCTGCAAGAGATACACAAGAGCCATCAAAGGAAAATAAATCCTACTACAAGGCTTAAATCTCGCTGAAGAGACAAATATACCTCTTGGGAAAAGACCCCAAAGATCAATCTTCAACCATCAATAATTCAACAAAAGGGAACAACAATATGAACTCCGCTTTGAGAAGAAAAAAAACTGTTGGAGAAAACATAACAACACAAATCTTCCAACCCTGCCAGGGGACTAAGAAGTTAACATCATAGCAAAAAGTCAAACTGTGGGGGATTTTAAATCAACACCCAATCACAAGGTGAGAGAAAACCCGACAGGTGACTGCTATGTCAACACTTCTTAGAAGTAAGCACCATTGTTCTCTACTTGTGGAATAATCCAAAGTACATATGCATAACCTCTGTTAGGAATTATCAAAGACAAATCTCCGCATGGGCAAAAACATCAGGGAGAAATGGTCTTCAAATTTCTCAACTGTCCGATCATAACCTGGTTGAATGAATAAAACATATTCATCATTTGAATCAAGACTTTGTTGTGGAAAACCGTTCAACACTCGTCTGGTTTATCCAAAGAAACAAAACTCTGCTAAGGGAATATCAGCAAACTCTACTGAAGAGACCTCAATATAGCTCAAATGGGGAAACATCAACACAACCCTACTGGGGATCTGCCAATAAATTATACCAGAGAGGTAAGAAAGAACCTTGCTGAAGAGAACACTTACGCTTTTCGCTTCAAGATTCTACCATTCTTGGGATTACTGTTGACATCCTTTCTTTTATTTTCACAAATCAAAGAAAAATATTTTTATAATTTTCAAAATTTAAATCAATTATTCACATTTGTTTCAAAAATCATCATAAAAAATAAAATGAAATTCTATAAACAGAAACAAAATAAGAATTGCAAACAAAGGGACAAAGGCCCAAATTCTATTGATAGAATGGTAGTCCACAAATGGCATGACTCCATGGATCATTACAAAGTTTGAAAAATGGTAAGTACAATGGAAAGTTCTACATTGGAATACAATGACCATTATTCTCCCTAACAACTTTGAATTTCAACTGTGCTTGAGACTTCAGCGGAGAATATCTGAAGTAAAACCTTTGATAGGAAATGTTGCTTCAAACGATCAAGACTGGCCAGATGCAGTTACTTGCCATGATCCCTAACTTTTGCCTAGATTGCCCTCTCGGGTTTTCAATCTACCGGGATGATTATTTCTGTTCTGTCTCTAATTTTTGCCTGGACCGCCCTTTCGGGTTTTCAATCCACCGAGATGCTCATTTTTGCCTAAGCTGCCCTTTCAGGTTTTCAACTTAGCGAGCTGTTCTTTTATTTTTTTTTAGGCGAAGTATTTCTTGACTGCATCGGCATTCACAGGACGAGTGAACTCTTCTCCATCCATAGTTGTAAGAATTAATGCACCGCCAGAGAAGGCTCTCTTAACAACATATGGGCCTTCATAATTAGGAGTCCATTTGCCCCTAGAATCAGTAGTAAAAGTCGAGATCTTTTTGAGCACGAGGTCACCTTCTCTGAACACACGGGGTCGAACCTTCTTATCAAATGCTTTCTTCATTCTTTGTTGATATAATTGGCCATGACACAAGGCCGTCATTCTTTTCTCTTCAATCAGATTCAACTGGTCGTATCTACTTTGACACCATTCAGCCTCAGACAATTCAGTTTCCATCAAAACTCTCATAGAAGGGATTTCAACCTCTATCGGGAGCACTGCTTCCATGCCATAAACAAGAGAAAAAGGGGTTTCCCCTGTTGAAGTGCGAACGGATGTACGATACCCATGCAGAGCGAAAGGAAGCATATCATGCCAATCCTTGTATGTAACAACCATCTTTTGAATAATCTTCTTAATGTTCTTATTAGCAGCTTCAACAGCCCCATTCATCTTGGGTCTATAAGGAGAAGAATTATGATGCTCAATCTTAAACTCATCGCATAATTCCTTCATCATCTTGTTATTTAAATTCGACCCATTATCAGTGATGATCTTG